AGGGGGGAGGAGGAAGGGTATCCAGGCTTTGGCACAGCAGGAAACTATCATCATCCTTAGGTCTAAGGGGACAGGTGAAGAAAAATATATTATCATAGCCTGGATGAGAGCTGGAGCCATGAAGGAAAGGACACTAGGCAGAAGCTCCATCATGGAAAGACCCAGCCAGTGTCAGACTGTGACAGGAATAGGAACAAGTACTTCAATCTCAATCTCAATCTCTCTCTCTCTCTCTCTCTCTTTCCCTCTCTTTCCCCCCTCTCCCTCTCCCTGTGTGTGTGTCTATTTCCTCACTCCAATCTTCCATTGGCTAGACCCAATCTGAATCCAAACCCAACCAGCACTCATGGAATCAAGTCAATAGAGGTCAGCCTTCTGGGGTACAGGGCCAAAAAAGGGCCGATTTAGAGAGCCAAACAGAAAATAACAAGACAGCCACTTGACACTTCACTGTCAAGAACACTTTAAGAAGAAAGAATATAGCCCAGTCTGCATGGCTCAACAGTGGAGCATGAACCTATGACCCAGGAGATCGTGGTTCAATTCCCAGTCAGGGCACATGCCAGGGTTTCAGGCTCGATTCCCAGTAGGGGGCGCACAGGAGGCGGCCAATTGATGACTCCCATCACTGATGTTTCTATCTCTCCCTTCCTCTCTCTGAAATCAATAGATATATTTTTTAAAAAAGGACATAGCTTTTATAATTTATTACAAAGACTATCTGTTATTTTGATAATAAGACTTTTTTAAAATAGAGCAGAGAGCCCTAACACACCACCTTGCAGGTGGCAAACACATAGCCTGCACTGGTGCAGTTTGGTGGGTTGTTGTAGGGCCAACCTGAGAACCTCAGAGCACAGACCATTATTAGCAAACATGGGTTGATTCTGAGGTTCTAGAATTCCCAGAAGCAGTGACTCAGCACTGGGAGCTTCTGCTCACAGTTTCTCTTCACAGATCTTGGGTGCCCTACACCAGGGTTCCCTCTTTCCCAAAATCCAGATGAAGTTTCTCTTACTAATGAGTCTTTATCTGCTTGGACCTGCCAGAGGTGAGTTTTCTACCTTAGCTCTGGGTAGATCTGCAAGAGGCCTCTTGAAGGTGTTTCAGGCCTTGAAGAAGAAAGACTGGTATCTTAGTTACCAAAGTCAATCTGACTCAAAATCAGAAACAGCTAAACAAGCTCAACTCTGAGCACCCCTGAGACAGCTGATTCCTTCTGATTATGGGTTTACCGTCAGTGGAGCCCACTGGCTTGGCACAGTCCTGTTCCTACTTCTTTCAGCCGCTCAATGCTTGTACCTGATGCTCTGTGAGATGAGAAGATAGGTCTAGGGGTTCTGTGGAAGTCCAGCGAAGGCTTGTTCCAGTGAACTGAGCGCAAGAGATCCTTGTGTAGTGAACGTGGCAAGGAAAGATATAAGGAGACGGGAATGCAATGCGCCCAGAAGGCCATCTCAGAACACGGCAGGGCTGCGGGCCAGAGATTTACATGTAACCCTATCATGGCTTCCAGTTGTCTGTGTTTCTTCTTTCAGGACCCACATGGTGAGATGTGTTCCCTCCTTCCTACAGCAGAAGAGAGGCCATGAGCGCTAAGCTGTTGGTTAAATGCCAGTGTCTCCTATAATGTCAGTTCTCAGACATTTTGTTTTTGGCTTTCTTAGATTTTCAAAGGTTGACTCAGAAATGCAGATACATAGCTACCAGGTGGTAGTATGTACCAGCCACACGGCGAAGCAGTGACTCATAAACTATAAGGGTGACTAAGAAATCGGTGTATTTTTTCAAGCTTCCTTTCTATAGCAGAAATATCTCTTTATTAAAGCTTTTGTTAACTTTTGAAGGCCCAGTCAAGCAACTTTTTAAAAATAAAAACCTCCTAAAAGCCTTGCTAAATCTTACCTTTCCTCCTTTATACACATATTATGATCTTAGTTTTTCAGAAAGTCATTGATTTTGACTGCAAATCACCCAGAATGAACATACACATANTTTCAGAAAGTCATTGATTTTGACTGCAAATCACCCAGAATGAACATACATGTAGATAGACAGATAGATAGATAGATGATAGATGATAGATGATAGATAGATGATAGATAGATAGATAGATAGATAGATAGATAGATAGATAGATAGATAATAGATATAGATAGATAGATGACAGAGATGATAGATGATAGATATAGATAGATAGATAGATAGATAGATAGATAGATAGATAGATAGATAGATAGATAGATAGATAGATAGATAGATAATAGATATAGATAGATAGATGACAGAGATGATAGATGATAGATATAGATAGATAGATAGATAGATAGATAGATAGATAGATAGATAGATAGATGATAGATAGATAGATAGATAGATAATAGATATAGATAGATAGATGACAGAGATGATAGATGATAGATATAGATAGATAGATAGATAGATAGATAGATAGATAGATAGATAGATAGATGATAGATAGATAGATAGATAGATAATAGATATAGATAGATAGATGACAGAGATGATAGATGATAGATATAGATAGATAGATAGATAGATAGATAGATAGATAGATAGATAGATAGATGATAGATAGATAGATAGATAGATAATAGATATAGATAGATAGATGACAGAGATGATAGATAGATAGATAGATAGATAGATAGATAGATAGATAGATAGATAGATAGATAGATAGATAGATAGATGGATGATAGCTATAGATAGATGGATGATAGATGATAGATAGATAGATAAATAGATAGATGATGATAGATAGATGATAGATAGATATAGATGATAGATAGATAGATAGATAGATAGATAGATAGATAGATAGATAGATAGATAGATAGATAGATAGATAGATGATAGATAACCTCAGAACTCTTACAGAGCTAGAGGACTTTGGGGCCTCAGGCCACCTCATTCTCAAAGATCTTGTAATTCCTCTCAGCCTCTGGCTAGGATTAATAACTCAGTTATTGTAGTTTACTCGCCTCCTCTAGGTTACTCAGTCAAATCAAAGAGTAATAATCACATTCTATTTGGTGCTATTTCCAATAAAATGAAAGTCATAATTAAGGAATATCTATCTCTCTTCAGTCACTGATGAAATGGATTATAGTCGGAAGAGACTGGCCAAAAGAGAATGACCAGCTAAGAGTTTTGTAACTCCCAGTGTAGGGGGAGAAGAGAAAACTAAAATTAACTGAGCACTTTAGCAATGAACTAGGCACTTCACAATTTATCTTATTGACTACTTATGACAACTCCATGAAGTGGGTATAAATGTTATATCACAAGGAATCTCAGTTCAGAGATATATAAGCAAATCATATTTTTATCTTAAGATTGATAGCAACTTTTCTTTGAGCCTCCAATCCACATAGATTGGGGATTGAGTGTGGGAAAGAAGTTGAAATTGCCAAACAAAGGCGTCTTTTAACTCCTGATAATTTTTGTGTTCATTAGATATTTATCATTTCTTTGTGTGTTTCTTTAATAAATTTATTGGGGTTACATTGGTTAATAGGATCAATAGGTTTCAAGTGTGCATTTCTATAATACGAGATGTGTATATTATACTGTGTGCCCACCACCCAAAGTCAAATCATCTTCCATCACCATCTATTAGACCCCCTTCATCGCCACCCCCACCCCCTTCCCTCTGGCAGCCACCACACTGCTGTTTGTGTCCACGAGTTTCAGTTTTATATCCCACATCTGAGTGAAATCATATGGTTCTTTCATAAGCTTTTTTGCATCTGACTTATTTCACTTAGCATATTCTCAAGGTCCACCCATGTTGTCGCAAGTGGCAGTATTTCGTCTTTTCTTATTGCTGAGTAGTAGTTCACTGTGTGTAACTAGCTGACTTCCTCCAACATCTGTAATCTCTCCAGCTGCTGATATAGGCCACAGGAAGCCTAGGAATCCCACGTCATTAGCCTTCCTCCACAGGAAAGTAGTCTTTACCGCGGACATGCTTTCTCTACCTTCACCACCTCTTTTCTGTTCCTTCTCCATCCCAGGAGCACCAGGTCAGCCCCGTGAGCCCTCTGGCTCTACGGGTCATCAAGCTTCAGTTCAGCAACCTTCAGGTGAGCACTTGTCACCTGTAACCCCTTCAGGCCGTGAGGCTTTATTCCAGACTTCTTCAGGCAAGGTTTTAAGCAAGTTTGCTTCTAGCGAGCACACTTTACTTGGACGCGCTTTGGGTGAGCACAGTTCAGGTAAGTGAGCTTCATGTGAGCCCGGTTTGGGTGAACATGGGCTGCGAGTGAGCATCCTGCAGGTGAACACACTTCTGGTGAACAACCTTTAGGTGATCAGGTTACGAGCGAACAGGCTGCGGGCGAACAGGCTACGGGCGAGCAGGCTGCGGGCGAGCAGGCTGCGGGTGAACAGTTCCCAGGCAGTCCGGCGGCCAGCACAACTTCAGGTGAGCCACACTGGAGGGGTGCCGGTCCTTGACTTCAGCTGGGGAGTAGGCAACACATCGAGAGGCCCAAGAGTATAGAAGAAAGAATAGCACACAAACATTTCACAAACAGCTCTCCCAAAGACCCTCCTCATAGGCTAAATAAATAGGAGGGTCCTCTTTTAAGAAAATAACACAAATGTAAGACGCCAGCAGTCCCTCCAACCTCACTTTACATATGAAATTACGAATACAAATGCTCGCATCTCCCATGGGAGGGGCTCCTGAAAGACTAATCTTCAGCAGCTTCGTGCTAAATCCGCCTCTTAACAAACTATGTTAGAATGTTTTGCAAACCCTGTAAAGACATAGCTAGCTCCAGAGCTGGTGTCTCTTTGTTCTTTGTTTGAACATGAAAAATAAAGCATGAAGACATTCTGTTAGATCCAGAAGTAAGTTCCCAGGACAACGGAAATTCTTTGGCTCTTGCTGAAAAAGGGGCTGTTCAAGGAAAGAAAACTAGACCCAAGGTTTGATGCCTCATTATCACCAGACATAAATACTTTCTATTTCACCCCACTGCATTAGTAGTAGTATCCCAAATTTTCAGATAAGAGACTAACATCACATGGCTAAAAAATAGCAAGCCTTGTTTTCTAACTTAGGTCTGACTCCAAAGCCCTATTTTTTTCACTTCTTATGCATCCATAGCCAGGGAATTGGCAGTGGAGATAGTAACAGGGGCAAGATGGAAGCTTTTCAAAGAGAACGCCCTTTGTGACAAACGAACCTTCTCATAAAGGTCAATTAGAAAATGGAGGATGACACAGACTCTTTACAAGGTTAGCACAATTAGAGCATTCTAACATAGCTTATTCGTCAAATTTTGCTCCAAGTGTTTGTGCTTGTGGGAAAGTGGGAGCAAGGAGAGTACAATAGGGAGTCAGTTATGTAATAAGTTATTCTTTGCTCCTACTGTTAGACATGGCCGCCCTTAAGGCCATCGAATTAGAAATGTCCAGGAAGTCAATGGGGATATGAATTGGAGTAAAAGTCAACATCAGAAAGATAAATTTGGGATTCATCAGCAATGAACATCATAGATGAAGCAAAGAATGAGAATTTCTTCTGGTGCAGAGGCGAGAATATGCTCTATCAGATACAGGGCCCTCAGATCCCCAACGAGAACCCAGAAATGAAATGTGTTGTATCCAAGCTACCTGCTTCCCTTCATCCATCCCCAGATGTGTGACTCAAGCCTACAAACCTGGTACACGAGAGAATTTCATCAGGCTTAACTTAAATTTTCAGGCCCGTCCATAGACTGCCACACATGCTCTTTTATGAACGATGAAAAAAAATGTCTTCGTGGAGAGGGAGTTTGCACCATTCAGAAGTCCCAGCAGTGCATGTTAAAGAAGATCTTTGAAGGTATGTGGCACTTCATGAGGCAATCTTTGCCAGAGAACACATCAACCAAGTTGACTACTCATGGGGAGTAGTTGGGCAAGGGAAGGGGACAGGGGCCTGAGGAGGGGATCAAGCTGTGGTTCCCAGAAACTTGGGAAATTCAGTAAAACTTTATCCTTTCAAGAATTAAGAGTAGAATTTCAGCTACTGATAGAGATAGAGACCCTTCCCAGCACGCCTATGACGTCTTAAAAGGAGGCGGGGAGACTGGCTATCTCTTCTTATTTTAAAGAAATATGAGTTGCCCCTTGAGCCGTTGACTGTAAGCTCAGGGTTGTGTCTACCTTGTTCAGGGCTATATATTCCTAGCACTTAACACAATGTCCAGCACATGGTAGGCATTTAGTAAATACTGACTAAATGAATAAACAATTGTCTACCAGTCTGTGCCCACAGGTTTCCAGAACTGTCTGAGAATGTACCCACACCTTTCTATCCTTCCACTCTCTCCTAATCCCCAAAATAAGGGATCTTGGTTACTTCCATCCCATAAACCACATTGCCTGACTTCCCTTGTAGTTTCTCTCATCCCTCAATAGAAGGAGTGGGCAACTGATGAAGGGAAGGGCCTAGAAGAGGCAGATAGAAAGGGAGGTCCCACTCATGCCCGCATGAGGACATAGGAGACCATGGGATGAAGGCTTAGGTTGGAGGAGGAAACCTCCTGCTCACTACAGTCTGTCTCCACTACTTTCAGGTGGAAAACTTCAATACATCGTTCAGGGATGTGAGAACATGTGCCCGTCTATGAGCCTCTTCTCTCATGGAACCAGGATGCAACTTCTGTGCTGTAAGAATGAACCTTTCTGCAATAAGATCTAGGAGCCTGTCCTCTTCTTTGCTCCTGGCTCTGACTCAGGCAGCAAAAGTCCTCCATCAACCTACCTCCAGGTTCAATTTATATTTAGTTTCTTCTCCAGTCAATAGCTAGTCACACGTGCCTCTTCCTGAGTGTCAGACTGGATGCTCAGGATCTTTCCTCTTCTACCCATGCCACTACCCATTCTTCTCTGTCCTCTGCTTTCCCTGTTCCCCAAACCCATCTCTCAACATTCTTTTGTTTTTCAATAAATTCCGCATGGTTAAAGACTATAGGCTCCAGACTGACTTCTTTTCCTGACAGTCAGCTGCAGGGTGAGCCGAAGTGTCCATCACTCCACACACTGAAATGGATGCATTTTTAAACCGTTTCATAGTTCCATATTGGTCAAAGTGAAGGGATCCCCCAGGGCAGAGACCACAAAGAGGAATATAAAGTAGGTATTAAGCTTTTTTTACAAGCTTAAACAGAGGGAGGGGCCTTCTCTGACTCCCTCCCTTTCCATCCTTATAGAAACCCCATCCCCTTCTAGTTATCATGGTGTCCAAAACTCACCCACTCTTTGGTTCTTGACAGTTTTTAGTCTTCAAGAGTCTACTCTTAACATAATTATAATAAAATGACTCCTTTTATCTATTGCTATATAAATATATAACAGGTCAGAAGCTTACATCTTTATTTCATACACAATGTTACTGGATCATTTCAGCATAGAAGGGCAAGCAGAAATACTATAATAGTCCCTCTCACCTTGTATTAGTGTTATATTCTTCAAGGTGTTTTTACCTCTGTTTCTGCTATAAAGTTACAGAGAGAGAGAGCTATGATCCAAGGGATGTGTGCAACCCACAAAAGCTGGAAAAGGCAAGGGAATGCCTCCAGAAAGGACCACAGGGTGGCTAATACTTTTATCTCAACCCACTGAGTTATGTGTCAGACTTCTGACTTATAAAAGTGTAAGATAATAATTCTGTGTTGTTTTAAGCCAGCGCATGGTAATTTGTTACAGCAGCAATAAACAACAAATACAAACAACTAGACAGAAAATTAGCAAAGATATAGAACTCAAAATACCATAAACCAAAAGGATCGATTCAACATTTATATACCCTACCCAACAGTCTATACATTCTTTTCAAGTGCCCATGGAAAATACAAAAAAAAACAGACCATGTAATGGGCCATAGAACATACTTAAACAATACAAGAACTGAAATCACATAGATGACTTCACCAAACACAAGGGAATCTAACTAGAAATCAGTAACAGAGAGATAGCAGGAAATTATCAAAATACATGGAAATTAAGGAACATATTTCTAAATTCACAGATCAAAGAGGTGGTATCAAAGGAAGCAAAAAAAATACACACTTTTGAAAAGGAAAATACAACATAACATTTGTGGGACACAACTAATGCAGTGCTGAGGGGAAAATTTATAGCAATAAATGCACACTTTAGAAAATTAAAAAAAGGCTCAAATCAATTATTTAAGTTCCCATCCTCAAGAACCTAGAAAATGAAAAAGCAAAATAAACCCAAAGTAAGCAGAAGAAAGTAATGAAGGTAAAAGCAGAAATCAGTAAAACTGAAAACAGAAAAATCAATAAAAGAAAGAGCTGGTTCTTTGAAAAGATCCATTAAAATTGACAAACCTCTGTCAGAACTGACAGATAAAAAATAAAGATACAAATTACCAGTATCTAAATAAAATGGGATATCACTAAAGACCCTGAAGACATGAAAAAAATATTAAGGGAATACTATAAACAACTCTGCACACATAAATGTGACAACTTAGTTAAATAAACCAATTCCTTGAAAAAAACAAACTACCACAATTTGCTCATTATGTAATGGGTAATTTAAATAGCTTTATAATTATTAAGGATACTGAATTTAGAACCTAAAAACTCCCCCAAAAGAAATCTCCAGGCTGTGATGTTGTCGCTTGAGAATTCTATCAAATGTTTAAAGGAAAATTAACACCAATTCTACGCAATCTCTTCCAGAAAACACAGTGGAGAGAACACTTGCCAACTCATTTTAAGAAACAAATGTTACCCTGATACCAAAACCAGACAAAGACAGTACACACACCAAAAAGGAAAGAAAAAAAACCCCAAAAGACTATAGACCAATATCTCTCGTGAATATAGATTTTAAAAATCCTGAATAAATATTACCAAATAGAATTCAGTAATATGTAGAAAGAATTAAACACCATGACCATGAGGTTTATTCCGTGGGTGCAAAGCTGGCTCAATATTTGAAAATCAGTGTAATCCATAGTAGCAGGCTAAAGAAGAAAAGTAACATCATCATATCAATTCATACGGAAAAACACATTTACCAACGTTCAACCATCACTCATGTTAAACTCTCAGAAAAACAGAAACAGAGGAGAGTTTCCTCAACTTAAAAAACAAACAAAAACGCTACAGATAACATTTTTCTCAATGCTCAAAGACTGATTTCTCTCTAAGACTGTGGACAATCTTACTTAACATAGTACTTGAAGTTCCAGTCAGTGCAGTAAGGGGAGGAAAGGAAGCACGAGGCATAAAGATCAGAAAAGAAGAAATAAAGCTCTTCCTACTTGCAGATGACATGATGTTCCAAATAGAAAATCTGAAGAAATCTGCAAAAACACTCCTAGAACTAATTAGTGAGTTCAGCAAGGGGGGAGGGAAGAAATTCACAAAGAACTTATATGCATATATGCATAACCCATAGACAGACAATAGTGCGGCAAAGGCTGGGGAGGGGGCAGAAGTGAAGGGGAGGGGGTCAATGGG